AGAAGAGAGCAGAGAAAGTGTGGACTGCTGGAAGAACTGTGGTGAACTGGTGAAAGAAAAGTCTTATTCTAGCTTCATCAAATCAGTATAATAAATATTCATATGAAATCTTGCAGAAGCACCATTGTTGTTATGGAAGATAAACTCTCCCACTGGCACCGCCGAAGTTCTTGTGACAATCCGTCGAAGTTCTTGTGAGTACTCGAATAGGCTCCCCCTTGCGCTTTGGCGGCGAACTGCTGTGTGTCTCTAGAAAGTCCAGACCGACGGTGCAGAAGCGTACCAGCAAAACTGGTTCACAACCAGACCCAAGCCACATTTGATATGTGCAGATGCAGAAGTCTAATCCGCTCTTTAGGGTCTCATATGAAACAAACAATTTCAGTCTGTGTTACCTTTTGCTATTTAACATGAATAACTTTTCTTTCTTGTTTGTTTTTTTCTGCGTTTTTTGTTGTTGTAGCCGCCCAGGCCAGCGTGAGAGAGGAGAAGAGACTCACGGTGGAGAATGCCAAATTGAAGAACGAAATTGAGGCGCTGAAAAAGCAGCTGCTGGAGAAAGAAAAAAGGAGAGGAGGTATGGTGACACACCTATTCTCGCCTTGCCGTGTGTCGCGAGAACCATGTGTTGACTTCCATTGTCATTTTCAACCCTTTCAAAACTATAACCAACGCTTCCCTAACCTAAAATCAACTCACACCTTGATCTTAACCCAACAGAAATCAGAACAACAGTCCTCGCTCTGATGCTCTGATGAATCTGTCCTTTGCTGTTTGCTGCCTGCTTCATTGGGGAGTGTTTGACATCGTTCTAGTCTTGTTTGCTTTCATCATCTCTGATAACTTCTCAGTTCTACTAGAGCCGGAGTGAATGATGAGGACAACATGCTCATCGGTAGCTGGATGTCTAACATATGTCCATCTTTTCCAGGAAGGATTCACAGGAATGCTGTTGGTCTGGAATAAATAAGTTGTTTGATTATCTAAAAGCATGAGGAATGTTTTTTAGTTTGCTTGAGGTGGTGTTTAGTTTTTTTGTTTTTTTTTCCCCACTCCCTTTTCATCATAGGGATGTTTGTTTTTCATTGTGTATGTTAATCAAATATAGATAAATACTGGCAGAAGCCTCTGATTTCCTTTAGAGATTAAAATGCAAACTATATAACTGGAATCCACAGTTCTAACTTTGTTAAATAGCTTAATATCTGTAGCCACCTGACTTAGTTAGACAGTAAAGGGCAGATTAGACTTCTGCAACACATCAAATGTC